ACTTCGTCAGGCAGCCCCGATGATCCGGATGGAAAATCGTCTTCTGGCGGTGGCGGTGGAAAAGTTAAATTCACGATCAAGAAACGCAACTCGTCCAGCGACTCGGCCGTAAACAAAGATCGCTCGCCAGAAGGAATGCGCAGCGGGGAAGGGTCGAGGAAGTCTTCACGGGAGTCTTCGGACGGATCCCCGAACGTGTCTCCACGGACAAGCATCGATGAGGGGATCGTCTGCAAGAAAGAAGACATCCTTTCTCTGATCCACCACAACACCAAAAAGAAGTCATCCTCGACGTCCTCGTCTGTGACATCGACGACAGTCGGCGTAACGTCACCCAAGAAAATTGCCCTCCGCACCACACGGTCAGCCACAATTGACCCGTCAGGAATGGCGACGGATACGTACGAACCAGCGGCAGAAAATATCCCCAGGATCGTGTCAACACCACCTGCACCACGGCGCGGCTCCACCACGCTAGAGCGAAGTACGAGCGAAGAGGTAAAACCAAGCAAGTCGAAAAGAAACAGCCTCTCGGGCAAGACACCGCCCCAGCAGAAATCTCAAGAGGAACCGCCAGCAGTCGAGGAGCTCATCACCAAAAAACCCAAGCGAAAACACTCGGGGGATGCTACTCGTGAAGTCAAGAAAGAAGCTCCTGCAGAAGAGATTCCAAAGGAAGGCAAACCTAAAGACGAGTCTCAGGTGAAGTGGGACGAAGGTAACGTTGTGGATGCTATGCTGTTGGGTGATGCCATCGAAGCCTTCCTCCGGGGTTCCATGGGCGGACCCGCTCCAGCCATGCCATCTACGCCAAAGAGAGTGTCCTTCAAGAAAACGTGAGGTTATAGAGATCACATCCACGCCCATGGTGACAGTGACTGAGATTTTCATTCCGGCAGCAACGGATGTGTTAAGTGTTATGAGCATGGCGACGGCAGAGAGTGTGATGGTGAAGTGGCCAAACACGTTATTTGTTTTGTGTCTTATTCTGGAAGAAGAGAATGGTGCGAGTTGCATGTTGCGTGTAGCGGAACTCTGAGGAAAGTGAAAGACGTATGTTGTGGTGTTTTTGTCAAAGTGTTGAAAACGAAACGTCTCAGACATGCATCCACACTCACCAAAGTCAGCGTTAATGGCCAAATGAAAGACCGGAGGAAGATTTTGCTCACCGCATTTAAAATTACATTATTTTTTGTTTCGTCGTTGTGAAGATGTGCATGCTTCGCGCGTCAAAGTTCCGAATTGGGGGCACGACTCCAAAATCTTGACGCCACACGTCTGCGATTACACAAATGCGAGAGTGGGAAATTAAACTAAGAGAGGACAGGTGAAGTTGGCAGGAATGCAAGCAAAACAAAGTTCAGAATATTTGTTCTTACTGAAGGTTCGGCTCTATTTCATATTTCAAAATCAGTGTAAACTTAACCCGCCTAATCCAAGTTACAAAAATATTTCTTTGTTTGTTCCTTACCAAGTTGCATTGTGATACAATGTGAACCCTTCTACCAGACAAGGCCGGAAATGTAAAACACGGTATACTACATTTCCAGCGGAACAGGAGACTTTTGTGTTCGTACGCGTTATAGCTCTAGACCTCACACGTTGTAACAAGCATTTTTGTGTGTCAAAGTGCCGCCTCGCATGACTGCAAACAATCTGAATTGTTGTCCCAAATATCTGTAAAACTGGACATCCGGTTTTACAAATATTTGTATCTTTCTCTGTGGATAGTTTTGAGTGCTTTTTCGCAATTGACACAAGAATGACTGTCTTTTGGGACACTGCTCAGATACAAGCTTTTACTTTTTCTTCGTGCCTCTTTCATTCAACTGCCTGTTGACTATTACGTCTATAAGGGAGAACTTTTTTTATATATACCACTAAGAAACTGTACATATACGTTTTTTTAGGTTCATATGCGACATCACCGATGGGTTTTTTTTTTTTTTTTTCCCGTGTGTTTCAGCGGAAAAACTTAAACAATTTCCTAGGTTCCGGCAACTGCCTTGTAAAATACAAGTGTTCAGGGAAAGACAGTGACGTTACAAAATAAATGTTTCTGCAGAGTTTCATGAAATAATTGTCACATTCAATTGTTTTATTTATTTATTTATTTAGGTTGTGCTGCAGCGCCCAAAGGGCCTTACCGCGGGAGAGTAATAAAATCATATGTTCACTTGGTAGAATATACATTTTGCAGATATACGAAAATACGTATACAAGCATTATGCCCCAAATCCAAACCAACGTCGTGCAGCATTACGCTCTGTAGCCTGCACACAATATACTTTGAGACCCGTGCTTGCGGTTACCTTTACAGAACGCCACCAGCCCACCTATATTTGTTCTACTTGACAAAATAACAGATATATTGTGATATACATGTCATATATTCACTATTTATTGAATAAGCATGCAGAACTGTCCACGTTTATGATAGTCAATGTACTACAAAAACAGTATTAGCCGAAAAGCTGAAAATTGCTGTACACTAACTTATGCCGAGAGCAAGTTGTCTGCTTCTTGCGTAGGAGTTGCAGTGACGTCGAAACAACGCCGAGCTTTAATGGGCTCTGATTAAGTGGATAGTGGTTAGCCCCCAATGCTACGTGCCTTAAGGTCTACCCACTATTTTTTTTTAATCAACCAATAAGAGGTCGGCCTTGTGACATCATGACAACCCCTGTGCAAAAAGCAGACGAGCTTGCGCTCCGCACAAACCCTATTCCCTGCTTAAGTGGCGAGGTTTCTCCCAGTAAATCTTTAGACATAAAAACAAGATCCGTCGCCTGTTTCGCTTACAATCTTTCGTAACATGTATAAATGCGACAAAAATATCGCCGTGGGGTGTGTGCAAACCTAACATTTGGAAAAGCGTGCACCGAAACAACTGCCTCTTAAATTTAATTATACTCACAATTGTCTACCTTAAAAATGTAATACATTTACTGTTCGAATTAATACCGCAGAGTAATCGCGAAATAGGCTTTGAAGAATGTCGAATTACCACGATTATACTGGCCGACAACGTTATATTTCCCATAACATTATATTTAAGTATAAAGATTAGGCAAAGAGGATAACTTAAATTATACTAGTCATCCAATATTCTTCTTTTATGTGTTCACGTGACTTTTGCACTTTATTTTTCTAGTCACCAAACTATAACAACAACGCTTTCCCCGTCTCAGAGGTACAAAACGGGGAACAAAATATCTATAAATGATATCGATCTGAAACATTACACTTCATGAGGATGCTTCCTCTCCTAGTGAAAAACAACGGAGTTCACTGACGAAGCTAAGCTTTTGTTGCGAGCCAACAATATGTTTCTCTACAGCTATACACGGCAGATCATTTTCAGTTTCATTGCCGTCTTCCTTGGACCAATTTGTACACACAGTCGCATGCTTTCGAGACATTTATTAGTTCAATCAGATCATACCCAAGATCGTCTGGAGGTCTATCTGTAACTACAGTCAATAACAACGTAAGAAATCCATGGATCGTCTTATTACGTTAAATGTTTTTATTTCTTTGCTTTGTGTTGTTGTTGCTTTCTTCGTGTGGGACCCTTATTGGCTAACGACTCAATCTCATTGGCTGTGGGACGATAATAAGATGACTCGCCACGTTTTGCGTTGTTTAAGTGGTCGATGACTGTAATGTGCTTGTACTAATGGTTAATTTACGTAGATCAGAAACAAAACAGTACTAAAACTAAACAGCACTCTGTTCAGTCTGTCTACCTGCCCAACGTTGTTTAGCGCTGTTTTGAGTTGAAGCCTGAAGGCATCACATACAGAATCCCGTACGTTTCCCTATTTGTCTTCATAATTTACAATATAAAAAAAATGATCGATTAAAGTTTGGAGACTTGTGAGCAGAATATGAACAATATTCGTGCGAATGAAAAGTTGTGGTAATAGACACGAGCGGTTGATTTGCAAGTACTAATATGAATTTAAGTTCAAGTTTTATTAGCTGAAAAACTCGCTCGTATTCTGCGTTTCACCTTACGTTTAGAGCCAGTCCAGTAACGCGCGAGCGTCACGTGACATGGATGGTCACGTGTTACATAGACACGTGTTACTTTCGCGGCGACCGATTGTCTGGTGTGGATCGTAGCGTCTCCTGTGGTTCGTAGTAAAGTGAAACGGGCTATTGCGTCTTTTCACTCTGTTCTTTTTTTTTTTTTTTTTTCGGAGTCGAATATGGCACATTAGAGACAGGCCTTTTCGCACAGGGTTCAAGCACCTATATGGAGCACTTTACACTCGCACACCACGTACTTATTACGTTTTGTTTTGTTTTTTTTTCGTTTTTGTTGTTGTCAGGTTTGGCACTTTTTCTTTTTTTTTTTTGCATTAGGTCGAAAGAGGCACCGACTCACCTATTCAATCTACGCTCGATAGTCCCCTGAAATTAGGTACCTCTGCTTTTCCGCAAGTCACATGTGAAGGCAGTCTACGGAGGGAGCTTGGCGAATTACAGAAATCATGCTTAAATGTAAACATGATGATTACGTAATGGCCAGTGTCACAGCGCAGGCTGTCTTTTGTAGGTCTAAGCATATTCCAGCCTCGTCACTCACTGAGCATACTGTTCGTCGATAGCAGCAATTGGTTCTTCCAACTGTTTTAGGGTAAAGTACAGCCGCACTACATTTTCCTCCTTTTTTTTAAGATTGCATTCTAAGAAATGCTTGCGCGTCTACTTACCCGTAAAACACTCAAAGAGATAATCTCTGCGATCTACGAAATCAGCTCAGCGAATGATGAGGCAGAACATCCGTTTAGACCTAAAAGGAAGTCTGCGCTGTGGCATTACGCAATGTAAAGCGTCATGCTTGCATTGCGTAATGCCACAGCGAAGACTTAGTTTTGAGCTCGAAACAGATGTTTCGCCTGATCAATCGCTGAGCTCATTTCGTAGAACGCAGAGATTGGCTCTTTGAGTGATTTGCGGGTAAGCAGACGCGCGGGCATTCCTTAGAGTGTGTATATGTCCGGTGAAACCGCCCTACACCGTGCTTCCTCTCACGTCAACCGGATCACTGCAAATCCCTTCGAGTGGGCACCACTCCAGCTGAAACATGTATTTGGTGGTCGGCTGGAGGTTTTGGTAGGTGTACGACAACTGCTCGGTGTACTGAAACGCCGTGGTGTTCCCGACTGCGACGATGCGTATCCTGTACGACGATATCGAAGGACAGCTGGGCTTGGGGCCCCACAGGACGATGATGGACGTTTGGCTCAGCGGAAGGGCGACTGGGCCTGGAGGGGCTGCAGGCAAGTGGAGAGATGTTCAGATGGAGGAGGAGAGTTAAGAAGACACTCAGTCTTCAGGGACAGTTTAAAAAAAACAAAAAAACATTGGGCGTGGATGATTATGTCCAGGCTTGTTTTTGTTTCGTGATTTTAAGCTCTCAATAGGCTCTCAGTAAGCACTCAGCAAAAAAAAAAAAGAAATACTGAGTTTTTGACACCGACGTACACAATTTGGTATTTTTTGTTTTTTTTTCTTCTTAGTGCAAAAAGAGCTTTTTTTGTACTTTAGGTGCTTTATAAATCTCTAGCTTGTTTTTGTTTTTTGTTTTTCTTTTTCAATGTCCAGCGATCTAGATTATACTGACAAAAACAGTGAAAAATTCGTATCCGGGGGATAATTCTGTAATCCCAGTAAAGGTCTCGAGTTTGATGATCAATTACTTGATGTTGATGAGTCAGCACATTTGTTTTTCGACGTGTTTATTAATTGCAAATTTAGAGGGGTCTTCTGGGACCCAAGCAGGAGAATATTTCTAGTACAAAATGCATGTGGGCACAGCGCATGGGTGCTCAGCCTCCGCCAACATGAAAGATTTATTCGGAGCGGGTGGCCGAGACGGCTCCTGGTGGACGGCTGCCCGCGCTTCGGGTCATTATTCCATGTCGCTCTCAGAGAAGAGTAGGCGAGTCGATTCAGTTTGACTCTGTTATCAAGTTCGCTTATTCCGGAGCGATGTAGAAGTTGCGCCACGCCCCCACAAACCACCGCCCTGGGCCACGTGCTTCAGTGGGTTTTTCGCATTGGTAGAGACTGTACGATTGTACGAGATTGTGTCACACGACGGTCCGCAAATTTGGTCACGTGGGTACTTTTAAAGTAGGTTTGGACTCCTTCAGAGCCAATCGAGCAGAGTCAAAAGTGCATTGCCATGGCGCTCATGTGCGGATCGCAAGTTCGTCTGCTACTTTTGCTGGCGTTGTGGTGCCGTCAAAACTCCGAGCTCTGATTGGTTATGATTGAAGGATAGTGGGTAGACCTCAAGGCAGCCTTCTCTGAGGTCTACCCCCTATCCTTCAATCAAGGCCAATCATAGCTCAGCGTTCTAACGTCGCCACAACCCCAGTAAAAGAAGCAGACGAACTTGCTCTCCACGTAGCCTTCGTGCGTTTGCCATAAAAACTAAAGCAGTCACGCGCAGTGAACGCACCGCCATCTTGCGCTTTTGTGTGATAGGCTTAGCCGGTAATGGAAAACGCAAAAAGATAGCAAGCACCATGACGGGGCACCCTTTGACCTCGCCTGTTTGGCCGCTTCAGATTCGTGAGTCGGCAACGGTTAGACCTAAAGTAAAACGGAGTGTAGGATATTTGCTGAAGCAACAGTCTACGTTACCGAAATTTCTCGCATGTTGAAGCAATTAACAAGGGAAAGATGTAGGACTGCGGAGGCACCAACGAGAAACGTGAGTTTAGATATCCAATGTCTAGCCATCTTCATTTTCTCGAGACAATTCATCTCGATTAAAGGGATGCTCAACCAAACATTCCAGTTTCCATAATAAATGGCGTAACATCTTTGCACGAGCCAGCAGTTGCCGGTGTGCGCGAGCACACGCAACGAGAATGATATCATAGTCTCCGGTTCAGGCTTAAGATGACAGTGAAATGTTTGGGCTACGGGGAAGAGAAGAATAAAGACAGGTTTTTCATGTCCACAGTTTGGACTGGCGGAAAAGATAGGCGATAAATTGGTATAGCAAGCACGTAGCTTTCACTCGTGGGGATGAAAAGCTTGTTTTTATCCTCCTTTTTCTCCGGATACAATACATTTCACTGTCATCTTAAGCGCTCGTCGTGCGCAATATCGTCGAATATATATGACCGAAAGTGTTGTTCTTGTATCTCACATTCCATGATTCCCTTTTGTAGTCTTTCTTCCTCTATACCGGGTGTTTCCTTTTTATTCTTGCAGGTTTGTTTTAAAGAAAGCCATGGAAAGCTACACGTATGCAGTTTGTGCGAGTGAGTTATACGGCCAGGGGTACATGATGTGGGTGGCTAATCTTTGCGGTAAGTCGGCTTATTAATTAAAATTCACCAATTAACTTCCTAATTAGTGAAAATAGTCATATGGTTCCAATTAGAAACTTGCTGAGCCTCGTCCAAAATTTCTAAATCAGTCATTTTCAGAAAGTCTTTAAGCGCGTGAGAAGCGTAGTAATGCATTAAAGTTACCACACGTGGAGCAGGTACAAGGCTAGCGGTTTCGGTAAGGCGTAAGGCGCCCACGCAATTTTTCCGTCTCTTATCTAGCCCCAGCCTTGTACCTGCTCCACGAGTGGTAACTTCAGCGCACTACTGTGCTTCTCACGCGCTCAAAGTCTTTCTAAAAATTACTGATTGAGGAGTTCTGGACGACGCTCAGCAAGTTTCTAATTGGAATCACGTCTATTTTCACTAATTAAAAAGTTAATTCGTGAATTTTAATTAATTAGCCGACTAATCGCAAAGATTAGCCACCCACATAATGTCCCCCTGGGCGTATAACTCACTCGCACAAACCGCATAGGTGTAGATTTCATGACTTTTTTAAAACCAAATCTGTAAGAGTAAAAAAAAAAAAAACTCCCGGTATATAACCTCTCGCTACAATATACTTGCAGTCATCTGGGGATGCTTCTTGATCGGAGTCGAACAACACTCGATTATGACCGGAGCCCCTTCGGTGAGCCAAGATAGGACGCAGAAACGACAGACCGTCTTTCCGAGTCTACCTGCGACCCTCCCAGTGCAAACAAGCAATTACGCTCCTGACCCGCATCTAAAATGTACAGAAGCTCGATCATGCTGACAGAGACCGGGAAGCGCAAAGTGTGTAGAGTGCAAACCATACATTATTTGAGATGTTTGCGTGCTCCGTTCACACAAGCCTCACCCGAAAACTGTGCATTAAGTGTGTAGTTTTCCTTAGACACATTCTGTGCCGTTTGTCAGCTTGCATACATTTTTTCGTGGCATATGACGCAACGCTCGCTCTCCCAGACAGTTACGCTCTGCGCAGCTGTTCCTCGTGCCCTTTCCGCAGTCGCTCTCAATCCACCTGCGCCGCTAAGCTCAGAAAGCAAGATGGCGGTGCGGCATGCATGCAGATGTCGGTGTCCGCACCGTCCGAGAATATACTTGTAAGCCAGCGTCCGAAATCCTAACCCGTAGCGATAAAAATGGGAAATAATAATCTCAAACGCAGGCTCTCATGAAGAGGGAGCTGCGCATGAAATAAGATTTTTCCTTTTTACAGCACTCTGGGCATCGCTGTAGTTGTTGGAGCAACGTGACTATGCATTTCAGACGTTCTTGCACTACGATATGTGCGAATGATTCTAAAAAAAACACTGAGTTTTGCAAAAAGCGCGGCCCCCATACTGTGTCGTGGCGTCAGCATAAACAAACATGGCGGCGCCCATAGAACTGAGCAGGCGCTGTTCTAGAGTGTGAAGCGCCTCGGGGAATGCTATATAAAGATTAACAGTGACATAGAGTGGTTGCCAGTTCTATAGACCCCATCCATTATGGCTCTCAGCCAAAAGACAAGCTGGTCGTCTTTAAGCCTTATGGCTGCTTGTCGGTGCTGAGTCACCATGTTTGCCTTTTGCTGCTCTTTTATTTTTCTTTCTTTTGTACATATCAAAGTCTGCATTTTTTCCATGTAAATGACCGGCGACTTTAAAAAAAAATATGCGCCGCTTCTTAGTTGCTAGGACATCTGAATTACAAGCACTTTGCTGCGAGTCCGATTCCCATTAGTGTTGTTCTTAATAGGCACTTAATAGTGTCAGGCTTTAAAGGTTGTGTACTAACCGAACGTTTCAGTAACGCCAGAATCTTGCAGTCTTTTTAGTGATATTCAACTGCTAAAACACATTCGCTGTTAAATATATATGCGTATTATTTTGCGTTAAAATATTTTCAAGTGACACTCGTATGTTGCGTGTGTTTGCCTAAAACCAAGAAGGTATACGTAACGAAAGGGACTCAAACAAAAGTGGCTTACGTGCCGGCCGTGTCCTGACTGTGACGTTGACGCAGGGCCCCACGAAAGTCTTGTACTGCTGGTCCTGGTAGGTGCACACGAAGATGGTGTAATTGGTGAAGTCCTGCAGGTACTGGATCACCTTGAACGTTTGTGCCGTGATGTCGTTTAGCTTCGCGGGGCACGAAGTGGTGACGCACCATGACACTTGGAAGCCATCGACGCCATCAGTGTCTTCGAGGATCCAACTGACGTTGACTGATGATGTCGTGATCGAAGACAGTGTCACATTTGTCACCGCAGGGAGTACTGTAAGGGCAAAATTACACTTCGCGTGAGACAATAAACCGAAAACTTCCCAAATAAAAAATAAAAAAAATCATTTTTTTTTTATAAAGGAAAAAAAAAAAGCCGTGAAAGCTATACAAATGCGGTCTGCGCGAGTGAGCAATAAGCTACGTTAGCGGCCGCGACAAGTTGCTTTGATTTGCTGTCTAATATAACAAAAAAAAATTTTTTTTGTGAGTGTGTTTTTTTTATTCGATTTGATAAGGCAAGTACTGCGTGAGTCGCGGCCGCTAAAGTGGCTAATCGCTTTAGTTCCCTAGCCACAGAACACCCACTGCAATCAGCTCCGCGGCGCGCTGTGACGCAAAAGTGACAAATTTCGTCATTAGCTCTGGCATCAAACGCGCTATGCCTGCCGGAAGGACGACCCGTCCTTCCGGCAGGCATAGCGCGTTTGGTTTCGGTATCGGCAGATTTCCAGAACGAAATTTGGCAATGAATAATTCCAACTGCGTACAGGATCCAGGATTTAAAAAGAAAAGAAAAAAAAAAGCTGGGCTGACCGTCAGCATTGATTGTTTTCATTTCTTTAATATAAACATGTGTCCTGAAGCGACTGATTAAAAATAATTGGTGCATATTCGTTAATTAGTTCTCTTTTAGATGCATTCTTTTTTAAACATAACGCCCGCCCGGCCGTATAAATGACGTTAGCAGACCTCATCTGTGGAGCTTTCATGGCTTTTTTTTGTATTTTAATCTGTATTAAATTTAAAAAAAATATATAGTAATCCGTACAGATGGCAGCTTTACATTACAAGGGTGCGAACGTAAGGAAAGAGCATAGCAAGTGTAGAATAGAAATCGACAAAAAAACATGGCGCTGTAAAATGTGTAAGTACATACTTGATAAACACTTCGATGCGCGCGAGAAATGCATTGATTTTTTTAAGAAGTAAAATATAAAAGTGGTGAGTGTTTTGCGTTGTTTGACTTTCCTGAAGAATGCAATATCGCTTCACGCTTTACAATATAAAAAAAAAGTGTTTCATGGCACTCTACCCCAAGAGATATATATAACTTACGCTGCGAAATTTTCGTCCTAAACTACCAATAAGATAAAAATATGTAAAGTTTATTGACTAAAAAAAAGTCTTGGTGCACTTTTTTTTAGACCTTTAAAAAGGAGCTTTCAGCACCTTTTTTGCGGTATTTGAGTGTCGTAGGTGACGCAGATTGATCGATGACGCGAATGGAAACTCGTTTTTATTACATACTTAACGACATCGTTTAAAGTACTAAAACACATTCTAAAAAAGTGAATGAAAGAAGCCAAGTTTATACTGGAACGGCTAAGGACTCACCAAGACGTGACACCAGAACAACTCACGTGATTTCTGCTACGCATGCGGGCCGGCATAACTTATAGCTTATCTTTCTTTCTTTCTTTTTTTTTTTATATCGGTAGATTTATCGGCGTTTCGACTTTCATAATCTCGAGGTTTCGGAGAAATATTTTCCTACTTTTCTTGTAATTTGTTAGTACTGCTTTCAGTTCATGTACCAACAGTCTTTGTACTTTAATGGACGATCAAAGTCTGATTATTTTACTTTTTAAAAATGAAATGCTGCGTCTTCTTTCTTTTTTTTTCTCTCTTTTTTTTCTGCGCGCGGGGTGTTTTCGTTTTTTTTTTTTTATATATTGTAACATTTACCTAAAACATGGGTATGCGCACAGGGGCGGATTTAGGAGGGGGGGGGGGGGGTCAGGTGGAAAAGGGTGGTAGGGCGATTGTCCCTCTTGAGCTACTCGTAGTCAACTTTTTTCATGAAAATTTATATGCATTCGGCAAAAGTTTAGTTTTTGGGGAGGTATAGCAAATATTGGGTCAACAATATAGATCTGGGTAACCTTTCGTCGTTCGTAACGTTAGCTGTAACCCCCCCCCCCTCCCCCAAAAGAAAAAAAAGAAGGAAAAAAAAAGGCTGACCGATAAATCCGCCTTTTTATATGAGCAAGCAGTGTCATATTTCGAAATGTCGTGCACTTTGTTTTGCCATAAGTCGGAGTGAACTCAAAGACAAACACAAGGACAAACGCGCCAACTAAAAGCTGAAGTTGGAACGTACGGCTGAATGACGAACCCCGCCGTGACATTGCGCTTTTGGTGCTGTGTGAATTGCCCTATCGGTTCATGCAGCGTCGGTGCCTTTCAGACTCCAACAGAAACGAAGCATAGAATATGAATTCCGGTAACATAACTAATGTTGGGATAATTAGATTGATTATACGGGAAATAATTATGTCGAGCTGCCTATACGACGCACGATTGCTTTTGCGCTTCTTGCGCCGAAATGGATTCAGAGATCAATCAATAGTTGCCAAATGCGCCGGTCTGCTGCTTCGTGTCGTTTTAATCGAACGAAAGCGGGAAAAACACGGACCGCCTTAACCATGTTGACTGAACATCAAAGCTAACGCCGCTTTGATGTTTCGCATTAGAAAGACGCAAAATGGACGGGAACTTGCGGGCAAGGTTTCCTAACGGTAATTTCTGATCATTAGGCAATGTATTCAACCTCGGCTCCAACGGCTAGCAATATAAGCAGGCCGTATTCAGTTATCTAGAAACCAAATATTTGGAGAATATTTGGAGATTAAAACACACACAGCCCATAACCATATATTTTCTTCTACTACTGAGTTTAAAATTTGGCGACACGCAGGCAGTTATTGTTCTTGTTAGAGTTCCTGCTGTCGTTTACCGTTCCAGCACGCACTTGAAAAAAATGTTGCCTCATTGTGCGTTTCGCAAGAATATTTCCTTAGTCGCATATGTATCTCTACGTTTTTATTACGTGAACGTCTCGTCTTCGTGTACTGAATTTTTTTTTTAAACTCCTACTTTGTTAAACCGTAGTTACGCAGGCGGTCCAACAGCGGAACGATTTTGTTGGCAGCGAAAAACTCTAAGATACGCACAACATCGCTCTCGGAAAATTCCTTAAAAAAACATTATAAAATGTTCTCTTTCCAAGATAAAAAAAAAAATTGATGAACAGCCAGCACGCCCTAAATAACAATAGCACTGGGTTTTTTTATGTCAGCTTCTGAATGCCAACGCAGGGCACAGATCGGAGATAAGTGCTGCCTCCGCGTTCAGCTGGAGTTCGTGCTCAGAGGTGAGAACAGACTCAGTCGAACTACGTATATAGGTGCCTAAAACCCTTTTCTACCTGTTTTTTTTTTTTTTTTTTTTTTTTTTTTACTGCGACTAAAAATGTGGTTTCTCGATTTCTCTAAGATGACGTCATATAAGTGTCACGCTGTCGCCAGCCGCGACCCCTCGCGATGTCACAGCGGTAGTGGCGTATATGGCAGACGCCTGTTCTGCTGTATGTCGCTCTCCAGTTTGACAGCCCACGGAAGCTTCGGCAGCCAGGAGTTGGGACGCTGCGCGGACAGTGACACTCGCGTTCGCTCGTGCTTTTCGCCAGCATGTCTACGATCAGCCTCCCGGATTGCGACGTCCGAGACGACAGCATGACACTTTGGCTTCTGCGACGTCATTTGTTGCGACTTGGAAACCACTTTCGGACGCATGGGCTGAATTAGGACGCTAAACACGCCAGTCGGAGACATGCGTTCAGAGCACAGCGTTGTCGAACGCTGACGCCGCACTTGCGTGAGATATATGCCCCGCGTTGGCCTTTCATTGCTGACGTAAAAAATCCCGTATTACAGCCTTATGTTCTAGGAGGCGTTAACTCAACCAACACCACCTAAAATAGTCACATCTTGGAATCAGCCTCACCTACCTGAACGTAACGTATAGTCGCGCTCCGATGAGGCACCAACTCAGCAACTGGGTTCGGGTCATCGATTTATTGTAATGTACGCTACAGGTTCAAGTGGCGATATAGTCGGTGCCAGGTCAAGAAGGAAGCGGAAGCTCCTCCATCTCTTTCCACTACAGCAGAGCGAACGTTAAAGAGGAGGCGACCTCCTCTCCAGCGTTCGCTCTGCTAAAGTGGAAAGAGGTGGGAGGAGCTTCCACTTTCTTCTTGGCCTGTAACCGACAACAGTGTGTGCCGTGGCAAATTAAAGCAGAGAGCAACCAGTCGGAAACTGACTTCAGGTAATGGATTTCTATGAAAAATGCGAGTGCATTTTTTTCCTGCACTCGATTGTCACAGCAAATGTCACGAATAATTCGAACGTGCGTAGGTTGAAACATTTCCCAGTCACGCAGACAAAATAATTGGTCACTTACGGCGTTTTTTTTTATTTTTGTTTTTGTTTTTTTAATTTCAAATTTATGGCATTAAACACGGTGCTAAAACGGCTTCATACATCTGTTTATGTGAACTGTCGGACACTGTTAGCACGAACACGGTGTCGGCGCTTGCCAGCACGGAGGATACTTATGGCAAACAAACGAGGGGAACGTGGAAAACCAAGAGAGACGGCAGGAACTACGCATTTACACTGGACCAGTAACTAACTCCTCGTGCATGCAGACGACCAAAATAAATTGAAGGCCACGTAATATAGTTTGATTTGCAATAAATAAGTACCGTCTTATTCTTTCTGCTCACGAATATGCATGTCCGAAGATGCTTGTTCCGCGTTCAAAACCACTCGCACCCTCGAAATATTTGAGAAAAGGGAGAAGCTGTAGAGAACAGGTGCCCGATAAAAGCTGCGCGACATAGGAAATAATAAAAAGACAGAGCTTCATAGCCGACGCACTTTATTTTTTTGCGTTTCGAATCTTTTCAACCGCGTGTAAAGATGCACGGCGGCGTCATTCTAATATGGTTTCAGGGCGGGCATATTAGCAATATATAGACCTTTGCAAAAGCACCTTCTGCGCGCTGCCATTTTTGTCTGCTGGGCTGTGGAAGGACTTCTGAGCATGCACTGTTGCTCTGCTGTGCGGTATATCAGACGCTGCGCATGCTTCCAAAGCTCAGTGACTCAGCATTTTTCGCCCAGCTGACAAGCAATGGAGGGGTCTCTTTGCCCCATCGGAATGCTGGCAAACCTTCAAAACACTCTACATGCCTTTCCATTCTTATTTTGCTTACAATCGTCGCTCGTTTTTACATACCTGCTACGAAACAGGGCTTCAATTGGGCCCATATAATAAGCGAAGTTTAAGATCGTTCAGTGGTACAAAAAGAAGTGCCGTAACTAAAGCAATTACACTATTACGAGGTTAATTGAGGCAGTGTACATGCTATTCGGTACGATTCTAATAACAAAAGTGTTCCGCGTTATTTTCCTGCGAAGAGACAAAATGCACAGGCGTTTTCCCAGAGGAATGCACAGGAGTACCGCAAAAATAGACTGGTTGCTGTCTGCTTCAATTGGCATCCCGGAAGTCGCATAGACCAGAGGAGGCTATGCATAGACACTAGCGCCACTTAAACCTCTAGCGCACATTATAATAAATATATGGTTCGGGCCTCACACCAAGCGTCTTTCTATACACATTAGCTTCATTCGATTTACCTGCACACGCTGCACCGGCGCAGAAAAGTGTAGAGATGTGTACTTCCGGTCGTATCTCAAAACAGATACCGGAAGTACACTAACCTACACTTTTCTGCAGCGGTGAAAGAGGTGCAAGTATACACCCTAAAAAATGTGTGCGTCTACTTTCCCGCGCAACACTCCGAGAGCCAATCACCGCAACTTACGGAGGCAGCTCGGCGAATGACGATGCCGGAACATATGCTTGGACCAAAAAATGCAGTCTGAGTGGTGACATTAAGCAATGCAAAACGTCACGCTTGCATTGCTTAATGTCACAACTCAGATTGCATTTTTTGGTCTAAACATATGTTTCGGCACTGTCATTCGCTGAGCTGCATCCGCAAGTTTCGGTGATTGGCTCTCTGAGTGTTGTGCGGGAAAGCAGACGCACGGACTTTCTTCTTTTTTTAGAGTGTAAATCTAACGAAGCGGATGATTGAGCACGAGGCCCAGCCGAACGCTGACACTGCGCTCGTGTTCAATCTGTGCCTGTTGTTGACTACCCCGTGATTATGTCAAAATTTAGATGCGCGGAATTCGATTATCTTATAATCACTGAGAGAGGTCAGGAACGCCGTGTGCGGCCAATTATCTTCATTTTTTTCTTTTCTAATTATTTATTCCTTTTCCGGCGGTCTTATTGGTTAATGTCGCAGTCGGATTGGTTGCAGAGGTATAATTAGATGTTATGGACTCGCCGCGCCCTTCGCTTCTTGATCTATCGGTGAGGATACAAGGAATTGCCGCCTCGGCGTGCATCTTGGCGCAGGCTTACTCGGTGCCGTGGCGAGCTGAAAGGAGGTCGTAGACGCGCTGCAGGTGCTGCGCGTGGTACACCACTGCACTTCGAAGGTCTTGTTCTGCGTCGCGTCCAGGTTGGAGAAGATGTACGACAGGGCCAGACCCACGTACACGAAAGCGCCCGTGGAGTTGCCGCTGGAGACGCGCACCCGGTACTCGCCTCCCGGCACGTACTGGAGCACGGGACTCCAGAGGAGCAGGACCGACGTGTCCGACAGCGGAAGCACGAGCAGCTGGCTCGGACCTGAACGCAAAGTGTGGACGCTGAGGCCTTAGTACGGCCCTACCTCGATTCCCTAAAGCGTCCGTGAATTCATCACTTTTTTTTCTTTTTTTGCAGAACACGGGGACAGCCGTTCCCGGCGAAGAATTACGAAGACCCCAGCGAGGTACGATGCTGTGTATACGATTAGACAAAAACTGAAATGCGAGGTGCTCAGGGACAAGAAACTTTTACTTCTCCCTTGCTCCTGCGGGGCCACCGCATTTTTCTAGTATGATTATATTTCGAGCTTTCACCTTTCCTGGTGTCCTTTTATTGTTCACCGTGATTGGCTGTTTTCGGGTTCAGCAGTAGTGTGAACTATACTTTGTTTCAGCTCAAGTTCAGACCAGAGTGGTCCAGACGCAGCCGACTCTACGAGGTATTGGGATAAATTATGTAAAAAAAAACAAGTCACAAGGGTTTTTTTTTTTTTTTTTTGTTTTTGGATTGGTACAGTGATAATAGAACACGCACAGAAACATGACACGAACACCATGACGATGCGCTTTCGACGCTGTTTGATTGGTCCCATTAGCCCGTAGCGTCGGCTGCGCCTGGACTTATAAGATGAAACAAACTATAGCAGACTAGTTTTAGCGTTTGGAAACTGTGATAGGGCCACTCTAGCTTTTTTTTCCTGGCGACGCACAAGTAACTACAGTAACGTTTCGTTAATATCGACACCTTTGTTCTCAATAAACATTGTCAATACTGCAAATCGTTCATAATAGCAAATCAAGGTCAAGATCGAAAAAAATAAACATATGTGGTCAAAAAAGCCTCGACGCCATAGTCTTCAGTCGCTTCCGCTTCAGGCTTGACATACAGTCTTGATTACTTGCTTCTAAGTGGAGAGGGAAGTGGCCTTCTTTAACTTTGATGCACAAGGAGTACGCATGACCTATGACGGGCTCACACGATACAGGATTGAACACACCTACCGGTAATGTTTGAAGCCATTGGGGTTGTAGGCGTGCTTGGAGTCGGCGATTGAGTAACCGGGACTGCAAACACGAGAAAAGAAAGAAGTACATTTTATTCATTTTGTTGTGTTTTCAGCACGTATTTGCGGTGAACCTCAATTCTCATAAGCTCAGAGGTTCAAAGTACCCCCTTTTCGGACTATAAGCCCTCCGGGCCGTACAAAATCATTAAAAGTTTCAAATTTTACGTTGTGCGGACTATCTACAAGTGCAAACTATAACAAAGGGATTTCTTCTTTCTGTTTCTTTTTTTTTTCTCTCCAAGATTAATTATTATGATATATAAAATAGCGCAACTGGAACAAGGACAAGAAGTAAACAGGACAGGCGCTAAATTTCTAAGAAATTTAGCGCCTGTCCTGTTTACTTCTTGTCCTTGTTCCAGTTGCGCTATTTTATATGTTTTACTAAGATGAACCAACTAGCCCAACAACGTACCTTACTAATTATTATGACGAGACGTGACATATGTTGTGAATGATTGATCATGTTAATGAAAATTTCTGTCTGGTAGAATTTTTCTCTTGTTCTAAATGCCGCCTCGGTGGCACCGAGACGAAGCGCCGGCCTATGGATCCAAAGGTGGCGGGTTCGAAACCCTGCCGAGGTGCCCGCAATATGACGCAGGCTTATTGCGAAGAAGGCGCCATGTAACCGAGCTTACGGTTGCACGTCAAAAGATGCCCAGGTGGTCGAAATTATTCTTCAGTCCTCCGCTAGGGCGTGCCAGATCCCGTCGTTGGTTTGGCACGTAAAACCCCCAAATTTGATTTGATTTTTTTTTTAATAAAGCAGGAATTTTTCAAAACGGTGTATGTATGATTTTCTTTTTTTTTTTTTTGCGTGCGGTTTGTTTAGGGATGTATATTTTTTAGCAAAAATTTGTCCCTACATACTGTGCATAGGGTGCGGACTTACGCCCGGAAACTACGGTACGTATAATTATGCTGACATTAATATTTGCTTCATCAAGTTCCTTTCAGACATTCCCCACCTTCCTGAGATTTCGCGCTTATCAATCAGTTGCCCATTCCCCCCTTTATGACAAGACATGAAGCTAATATCACTTTCCCATCGTTTATTCAATCCATATAGGGGGCCCATATGCTGTGCGAGCCACTGTGCAGCTTTCTGATGAACAAACACAGAAAGCATCAGGTACTGCGCTGTGCCCAACACTTTTATTTCCTTAGATAGCAGTAAATAATAAATAGAAACATTTAACAGATACGCTACCTGCTAAAATTTTCTATACATCATCTACCGTACTTTACATAATCTAGGTGTTGTTGGCTTGACACGGTTGTATGTCATTTTGACGCCGTCTTTACTTCCATCGCAGGTTTGGTTGAAACATACGAATTACTAAAAATTAATTTGCGATATCGAAGGGCTTTGTAATATGCTCAGCTGATGAACAAGTTTCCCATATCACGTTGTAGGTAGCATTTTACCGTTTCCATTTGTCTGTCGACACGGCCGAGACTATGTTTCTTTTGTACTAAAAGGCTTCGTTCTAATATTGTGTTGAAAAGGCAATCTTAAACAACCTTAGATTAAGCGACGTGAAACAATCCCAGACACGAAAAGAGATCAAGTCGAAGCGACAGACAGATATGTGTCGTTTTTCTGCCCTTTCAACGCCTTCACTTCTATTTTCTTTGGTGTTTAATTGAAGGGGTAGCACAAACTTGCCGCGAAAGCACGATACTGCCCTTGAGGAGGAGGCCGGTTCGTTTATGTTACAATAAAACACCCAAAATAGAGAGATTAAAATGTATGCTTAACCTTGGTCATGGTCACGTAAACTTAGACAAATAATTATGCAGCATGTACCAAAAAAAAAAAAAAAGATTGCACACTCAAAAGAGCATTTTAAAATCATACTTGACGTATCAAGCTCTAACTTTTCTCAAATATGTATTTTACTGGTTCAATTAACGTACTGAAATTTAAATTCTCTACTACCAGTAAAACTGAAATTATAATTAAAAATACATTATGGTGGAGCGGCAGTTGCCGGAGGGAGGGGGGGGGGGGGGGGGGGGGGATCGAACGACGGGCAGTGTTTGCGCAGTTTATTCAGAGATGGCGCGACAAATCCCGGCAACCGCATGTGAGCGAAGGCATTGGAGGCACTTGCCGTCACCAATGCCGGCTAACTTACGCCTCTCGTGTCTCTTGAGACAAGCCAAACTGCGAAAGCAGATGCAGAAAGCTGGAAGCAATTGTTAATAAGGGTAAGTGAGTTCTAAAGCAGAATTAAGGCTTCTATATTTATCACTACCTATTGCGTAGCTCTCGCCGTGCTGAGAACGCGAGCTGAGAATCGAATATCCATCTTGTGTTTTCGCGGATATCGAAAACGCGAACTGAAACTCGCGCATAAAAGAGAGTTTTCCCTCACCGTGCGCCCACTGCGCGTCTTGCCGGCACTGGTGGCGCCATCTCTGAATACGTTGGCCAAACATGGCCATTCGCCTTCCAACAGCTACCGCTCCACCATTGCAAAAGTCAGACCCGTATATTTAGAGTTCGGTTATTGGTAAGAATAGGGCGGCAAATAAGGGCACGTCATTGGCCAAAATTATTTTAGTGGCCTTGGGCGCTTCGATTGACAGCTTTGTGACCAACCACTAATCACGAATATTTCCCCTAGCGGAGGTAACGAGCTTAACTTGATGATAATGCAATTAATGCAAAGGTGCAAGCGAGCTGTACAAGAATGACGAAAATAATCCCTGGACAGAGGAACAAGGGGGACAAAAGACAAACGTAAATCTCTCAACTTTTTTTTCTTTTCAGCACGCTAGAGTTGAAGTTTCCGACCCTTCGTAATTGAAAGTGCAAAGCACGTGACCTTGTCGTCTCGGCGACATTCACAATCCACGCCATCCAATGTTGACTCCATCTTTCTTTTGATTTCATTCGCAGCCGCAGCCACGACCGAGTGGGCGGTGAAAACCGTAGCCCCCAGTGGTGTGGGGTTGCCACTCCGGAGTTTGAATGATTCCGGAATCATTCTGCACTTTCGCGACCCCGGAATAGGTTGGGCTCGGTTCTTATGCGAGCTGTGTCGGTTCCGGAGCCTACGGGCTGATGGCGCAATTCGGTAGCGCATAATAAGTGGCTCCTAAAATAGTACCACTGCACTGGAGGTGACTGACGGCTCGATTGTCTTACTGGCTTATGCTCCTTCGAGGATGAAAATGCCTCGCCCTCAGTGAAGCAACCAAAACTGAATAGTTGTAGACGGACAATGTGTCGTTCCTGGCGCCGCGAGAAGCGACAAAGCGGTTGTTGCAATCATCATCGATTTGCATGTAGCTTTTAACCAGGGTGTCAAACTGAACCGGAACCGAAAACCGGACCAAAATCGTTATTTTTAGCTGAACCGGGACAAAACTCTAACCGAAATCAAACATTTGATATTGAACCCAACCGGAATGGAACCGGAATCTCATGTAGCGGTAACCGGCTCATTGGAAATGGTTCGGCGTAATAAAATGTGAGCCGCGTCTTCTCGCGTGAGGCGATGCGAAATAAATAAATATTCACGACGATGGCGTCAGCGGCTCAGTTTTGACTAAACTAGCGGCAGCGACGTCATAGAGACAGTTCAATAATAATTAAACAAATAAGTATATTTCACGTGTATGTGCAGCGAACAAATATCAAAATAAAAACAAAAAGTTGACGGCTGTCGGCGCGTTTGTTAGGCAGTGGCGAAATCTGCAGGCGCCAAGAGGCGAAGCCGCGACGAGCACGACACTTCGCCCAGAGCCCTGGAAGCGGCTTGAAGAAAAATGTTTTGTGTACGGTATGCGATTTTCTAGAAACAACAAGTCGCCCTTTGTCTTTTTATGTTTTTCTTTATCGTCTTTTGACCAGCTTTTGCAGTTTTTCTCCTCTTAAACTTAGTCGTTTGAGCAAATCACTCGGGCGCGCAGTGTGAGTAGTATGCTATTTCCATCTGAATGAGCATCGTACCTGCGT